TATAATTTGTAAATGACATATTCTTAGTCTTTTCTGTTTTCTAATACGCCGGAGTATATTGTGCGAAGATTAAATCCAGAGAGAATAAGAATTTCACGATGTTTTATTTACTCAGGCTTTTTTCTCTCTATTTACACAACAGGTAGTTGATATCAACTCATTGATATTTGTAGGAACGCTAGAGCATAATCTCGCATTTCCGAATTTCTCTTTTACTTACTCACCAATCGTTCGCTTGGGTACGCTTACACTTTGTCACAGCTTTATGACCATCGGCTTTACCGCTATTTCTAATGGTTGTTTGTCAGCTAGAAGGGTTCAATTGAGTCCGTTGCATCAGCTCAGTATTGTCTGAAAACAAGATCCATCATTAAACGTGTCCACTATTACGATTAGTTTGCCTATCTGGTCCGGGCCCCATCCTATCACTGCGCAGAACTTTCTAGCGTTGCTGGTTCCGACTGAATAGTGTCCAATAATGCGTTACATATAGGCACTATTATGACAGAGAACAATTTTGGATAGGTACCAGTTGGTACGTACGTTCACATGAAAAGGTAAATTTCTGATACTTTAGTGATTTGATACAACTTAAATACACCTTCATTGCTGCTGTCACTTTTTCAACTTTTTTATCTGGGGGGTTGTTTGTTGACGAATATTTCTGGCAGCTATTGCACTTGTTATTGTTATTTCTGGTGAAACACTCAAATCGCTATACTTTCTAAAACATTTACCCACTGGGCTCTCACATCGGAACCCCGGGAAATATTTCATTGTACTTCAAATACTAAAGCATAATTCGAAAATCTTCCTTGTTTCTCCCTGTTTGAACAGTGGAAATAAACAGTTTATTTTTCATGATTATCGTCGTTTACGCTTTCAGGTTCATATTTTTCACCTATTCACTACTGACGGTATTATCTAAGATACGTGCCCTAATGATGATGACATGAAAAATTTGACTGAACGGCGTTTGTGACTACCCAAATGAAACATTGTCCTCAACAACGATTAAATCTTGGATGTAAAAATAAACACAGGAGAGGAAAAAGAATAACGCCCATGAAAACTTCACAATCGATATGGAGAGCCAGAATTCTACTGTATAATTTATCTGGGAAATTAATTTAGGAAAGAAAATTAAATTGCAGAAACATCACAGAAAATACTATAAAAACCTGGTATTGATAATGATCTGTATTGTATAAGGCAGTGGTTGATCTATGTGTATTACTCGTCGCTTTCCTTGTCTTTTGCTAAGTAAAAAGATAAATCCTCGATGGTTTGTTTCAACAATACACTTTGCATGTATTTTCAAGGTAGAAAACTTGGGCATCCCGATTCTAAAAAGGAATTCCGAATTCAACACTACCATCTGACCATTAGTAGACTTACCAATTTCGTGTACTATGAGGGATAGATTTATACACAGTGATGCAGTGGTGGCCAAGTGGTTAGGTCACCAACTAATGACTTGGGTGTCCCGGATTCAAATCGCTCCACTGACGCCCGTCTTCCTTATTTCTGTATTTCCCCAGGCAGCCCTTGTATAGCCATAGACCCCTTCCTGAAAGTTTTCTGTACATTTGTTTATTTGTGTATTCAATAAATAGAAAAAGGAAGAAAAAACATTTAATTTAATTTTAATTTTAATTAAATTTTATATCTGTACCCGACTATTTTATACAATATATATCTTATCAATTTATTGCTTTCCTAATAAAGCACTGTCATGTGTTTAAACATTTATCCATTGAAACTGATATTTCTCACGTGCAAGCTACAATTATTCGCATCAGGATCTAGAGCTGGTTAACAATTCTCCCTCGAAACACTCACAATTTAGGTGATAAGCATCTACTCTAGGCGAGACATGAGAACTTTAAATCATTTTACTTACGCTTGAAAAGTAGACTCAAAAATATCGAAATGATGAAAATAAAATCTGTCTTGATCTAATACTGTTTTGTTTCCAAGACCAATATCAATCAAGATGAGAATCATTGAAATATATAAATTGTGCAGAGCAATCCGGGAGGTAAAACTTATTTATGAAAGTATATTCAGCATATAGGATTCTTGTATTACCTGCTTTTATTTCCCAGTTCGAATTCGATGGAGAAGCACTGATAATGATTCCGAAATGCTTCTCAGTGGTAAGTAGCACGTTCACGCTGCATGAGGAATCCACTTTTATTAGTAAGGTAATTAAGCGGGTACTTAAAGCGAAGGAAGGTTTAGTTGAAAAAGCTGAGACCGTCGTCACAATAAAATTTTAGAAAGAAATCAAACTAGATTCACAAGTAAAATTGATGGATCCGCGAACCCCGCTGTTTACGGCACTCAGACATATCACTGTCTCCAATAAATAAAAATATGGTGCACGGGATCGTCGACCATCAGGCCGATTCTCCGGTTTTTAAAACCTCAAGCCAGGTCATGTCTGACCATCCTTGGCTTTCTTCAAGCTACTGTCAGCCTAGAAAAACTACCCGTGAAAGACGTTTATTCGATGACATCCGTAACAAATGCTCCATCCATCACAATCCATGTAGATCAAACACTCGCGTTACTCCGTAGCCGCGATCACCTAAAACTCGATATCTAACCCCAGGACCGGTCATCCGGGTGCTCGATTGGGCTGGTTCAATGTGACATAGACAAAATAGTCCGAACACCGACAGTCTACGTTTAGCCTCCTGGCCGTTTAGTAGCATTGACCAAACAGCTGCAGCGTCAACTTAACGAACAACCAACTTTACAGACAGAGCTAAGGATGTCTGAAGCAGACAAGCGCCTGTTGATCCTTATGCATGAATGCCCAAAAGTATAAAATAGACAGACCTTGAGATACAAAACCGTTAAACTTTGACAAAACTTTGACTCAAAATGCCCGCGTGGGTGGTACCTGAAAACCTCGATTGTTCTTATTATATTTTATTCTGTTTCACACATGTCTGAATCCAGACTGGATTTCAAAGGTCTTCCATCTACTGCTTATCGTTTTCCGGGTAATTTGTTCAATAACATCACCCGGTAGGATAACGAATAGGGACACTAAATTCTATTCCTTGAAAATTTTGCTTATATTGTAAACCTCGATGACATTGGTAAGCTCTTAGCGTTTTCTCTTCAATTGGACAAATTGCAATCCCCGTCTTTTATCTTATCTAAATATCATTGCTTTATTTGCCATATAAGAGTTTCACCTATCATTCATTCAACTCTCGAAGTACATAGTCTTTCGTTAAATATGTAACTCACCAACCAATTCTAAGCCTTGTATGTTACAGTCACGTGGTAACTATACTGATTACAAACCCACGTTAACGTTGTATGAATTAATTACTACTCCAGAGTGGTATTCATTCGCATTTGAGAACAAAAACCGAGATGTATGATAGAAAAGACAGTTGATTCGTGCCATTTTTTCTCAGTGACGCTTAATGGTTAATTAATTCTGTTCATCAAATGATCGCAACGAAAATCACGCAGTTCTCAGTATTCACAAATGCAGCTCCGGCTCGCTAAGTCATCGACTGTATAACCACCGGATGATATGTAAAATAATTATAAAATAGCATTCAATAGAACTAGCTATAAAGAAGAAAGATTATGGTAAAATCACCGCTTTTCATAGTTCTATTTTGCGGACAGTTGTGTTGTTGCACCTGTGTGCTTTCTTCATGCAAGTGACTTGCCGTATTATTTCATTGATCAGCCTCCTTTGGCAGGCCGTTCAAAAAACAAAACTCACAAACAAAGCAACTAAGTATCAATGGATTAGTCTGCAAAATACGCAGATTGTATCTGTGAACAGCATCCAGGCTCTGATAATTATTTTCCATTTTCAGTTAACATTTACCTCACATCTACTTATGAGTAGTAGTTTGGGGTGATTATTTTTGACTTGGACTCACCCTTTGTCAGAATTCATCTTGATGCACAACTCTCCATTTAGCTATTCACTTTATTTTCTTACTCGGTACTCACAAACAACTATGAGGTAAATGCGAATCCAAAATTCCACCCTATTAGGTTTGAATGTGGCTAGTCAGCCAGAACCTGCATGGGAGACTTGATGGGAGACCTCCGAGTGGAGTTAGTAGATAGTCATCTGTATGATCCTTCGTTGCTGTCGGGTCAAACAGAACTCACAGACTATCTTTAAAGATGAAATTTGGACAAACATCAGTTGATAGTTCTGCTTACCCCAGATGTGAGCTGGTTAATACAAGGGAAAAACATGCGTCTTCCGTGAGACGAGCCCGCAGTTCAACACCAAGAATTGAAGGGCGGATTTGCACTAATGAAAGGATCTAATAAAAGCGGAACTCCAGCGTAGCACTTCTCAAGTGTACGGTTTACTGTATGAACTAGGGATGGTGAATGAAGTCTGATGTGTGATTAATGCAAATTACTTTTCGGTTTCACCTTTTCCAATCGTTTTATAAACGATATTGACTTTGACAANTTTGACAAGTTTACATCAGTAGTCAAATTGCAACCGTGTTGAAAACACTCACTATCCTATTGCTGTTGCGTTGTCTGCTGTGTAGCTTATTTGCATAAAAATGAACTTTTTATCATATGAAAAGCATGATAAAGCGTTATATCGATACATATAACGGTAAACTCCATAAGCACTAAAACTTCTCTATAATAGGAATTGAGAGAATATGTTTCTAACATATATTTATGTAGGCATTTACTGCTAGCTTTCAAATAAGCATGTTTCCAGCGCAACAGTGTGTCGATTTTACACTGAAATATGCTTATGTTACGAGCAAGAGGGAATATAGTGTAAGGAACACTGAGTAAACGTTTAATAAATCGAAAGCTGGCTATTTGGTAGAAACTTATCAAATTACAACATACTCTGTTATTCAACAATGTATCTCGTTGCTGTAGAATTTATTATTTAAGCCTAATGTATATTTTACTCTTTTTAATCCGTTTTCATTTCAGGTCAGTCCGAAACGCCAACGCGTTCTTCCATGCGCACGAGCCTGGCACAAAATAATGGCGAACGCACCCCCCTACCTCTGGCAGCTGTATTATCTAGTGCCGAAGCAACCGCGGCACGACCATCTGTCTATTCTCCTGTGCCAAGCGAATCCGGTGAACCACAAACCTTTTCACGATCCAGTGAACTGCATGAACGCATTCCCAGTCCAACCCCCATTCCCGGAGGGATACAAACGCGTATTGTCCGTGAGGATTTGGCCCCTGAATATGACTTAACACGGCCACTGAACGGTTCGAACGACCAATCAAGCCATCCAAGTTATCAACCAAATCAAGAAATCTCAATCACCAGCAAAGGACAGAGCAGTAGGAGTATACCGTTAAAGACTTCTCAAGTTCAGTATAGACAGCCTCAGTTAGTTTCAGATATGGAACGGGACGGTGTGCAGATCCGAGATTCATTCAAAAGGCATGAAAATGCTACGGATAGCGTTCACTCGCGTTCATCTCAAGCGATGGTACAACCAATATGCGAGTACGATGTGCACAATTTTGGCATTTCGCAAACAAGATCCATATATCAAGGGTCCAAACCGGAACAAGATATACAAGCCGCATCGCAAAGAACGAGTCGAATCATGCATGGCAATGCAGACTATGTGGACGCTTCAGTTAGACTGGTGATGGGACCCCAAGTGCCTGTACCGATGAAACCTGAACGCTCGTACATAGCCAGTCCAGCACCAGGTATTGAACAGGAAGTCACATGGAATTCTGCACAGAACCAAACTGAATTATTCAGTTCTATGCCGGAAACCATTCACGATCAGATCGAGGCCACGGCTAGTCCAAACCAGTTCATCGAACGGTCTATAGTTATTTCCTATGACAAAAGACAAAGCGTTCCCGAAAGTTCACGTGCAGTTCAGTTAATGCAAGCACCAAAACACACAAGCACACCAATTGAAAATACTGCAAGTAGAAGCTCTGCTGTTCATCGATTGCGCAATATCAGTCCCAGTCCACCCAGATCGAGTCTGCGACCGTTGCTTCCAAAATCTTTGGATGTTAGAACAACGCAAGCGAAATGGCAACTTCGACCTATTCCAACAGAGACCGAAATTCGTGAGAGACTTCGCAGTCGAAGTCGTCAACGAGCCGAGGAACGTCAATCTCGAGCGAAACACCCAGATGCTCCACTAACACAAACCTATCGCCCGAGAAGTTCTCGTTCAGATTCTCGTTACAGATGTACTGACTTGGACTCGGCAATCGCAGAATCTCGGGCTGATACAGCGGAATCAGGAACCATGCATTCATCTGTGCACGAAAGTGAACCATTATCCGAGGCCAAACAGTCATCCTCTCTATTTGACTTGGATGCTCAAACACAAAAACTCTCCTCAACTAGTCAACTTGGAAATGCCCAAACGCATGATATAGTGACGAAATCAGAACGCAAATTTTTCGGGGACGCAAAGTCATATAATTCTTTGTTGGAAACAGACATCGATACTGGTGAAAACTTCGAACGCCCGCTGATGCTGGAAACGGATGTGGATAGACTAGATACTCGGATCAATAATGTTCCTATCGGTCAAGATGGACTGGACAATAAAACACAAAGTTTGTTCAATCTCACTTTTGCTAACACCCCGGGGCAATATCGTCGACAAAACACGGGTGAGTCGAACCCAACAGACAACATCATTTCGAGTCGTATGGGCACATCCCAGTCATCCGGAATCACTATGGAAAATTGGCAACGCACAAAGAGTCTACAGGGTCTTTCACACAGAAGTCAGGAATCTCCAGGTCCGAAGACCGAGGGAGAATTTCGTCATCACTCGCGATTGAATGGAGTCGGTGCCAAAGGCTTGATTGAAAGACTGCGCGACCGGGCCAAGTCTAGTTATGAATTGCGAATCGCTCAATCGCTGACGAAGTTGCGAGTGCCCGACTGGTTGGACAAAGCAGAGTGTTTAAGCCGAAACTCGATACATGAGCAGAATGCACTCAATGCAGATTCTGAGCTGAATATCTCAGATTCCACCAACCGGTTTAAAATATCATCAGGATCTGAAATACACTCTACTCGTTATAAGCCACTACTGTCATCCACCAGGTCATTGTCCAGCTCTCGAAGGCAGGCAGACTCTTCGTCAACATCAAAATGGCTACGTAAATCTCCCATTATTGAGACTGTAGCTGAGCCGACCTGGTCGCGAATGACTGGAACCTCGGGAGCAACCGGTTTTGTTCGTCCGAGTCAACAATTTCGTGAAAGAGGTGAGAGTTTATCCCGTCTAAAGCCAATTCACTCGAAATTGTACAGTTCTATGCGCAGTTTGGCTGCCAGTCGACCAGCCGACGACAATCAGACCCCGGAAAGTTTACGTCCCCAAGTTGCACCGCGTCTAAATCGAGCAAAGCTCAACGGACATTCCGGTCAGGGCACTGTATTCCAGTTAAGTCCTCAGGACTTTATGCCACGACACGAACAGCTGTGGGGAAGAAACACTGATGTTTTACCCCGTCGATATGGTCGGTCAAACACTGAGCCAAGGGGTGCTATTGGTCCAAGCATGGAAGCGGCACGTCTTGCTTACGAGCAACGCAAAGAGAGTCAGATACATGATATGAACCGTCACAGTTATGAATCACAAATTTCAGACACGGATAATGACCATGAGGTAGCTGTGCCACCAGTACCACCACATCAAACTACCGGTACACAACTCATTGGCGACGATATAAAACCGGCAGATTACGACTCAGGCACTGAACAGTCGAGCGAGCATGCACAGCCAGGGAAACAAAATGGTGTTCTTGGTATTCAACCTATAGCTGATAATCCGCGAGGTTCCACTATGGTCAATGGAAAAGGTACAATTTCGACAAAAGACGACAAATCCGTCATTCGAATAGAACGTGAATGGGAAACCTCTAAGGAACTCAGGCAAAAGGATGCTGAACCAAATCCATTTGTCGATGAATCATACAGCAATCCCACTTCACCACGGGGTGAATCAGTTCAAAGTGAANACAGTGCTTCTGAGTGGCGTTCGATTGATGCCGAAGGAGAATCAGAAAGCGAGGCAACTGATGGTTTGGACCAAATTTCTGATCTCACTTGTTTAACCAACCTGATCGATACATGTGCCACACGCCATCGTGCTTTGCTTGCTAACCGCCCATCAGCCCTGGAGCATTTATTAACCAGTTTGGGATGGTGGCCATTGAATCCACCCGTAGAACATCAACATTTACCTCCGACGGCAGCCGAAGCGATCTCCATTGCAGCGCATGAGTTCGATGTGGATGAGGATTCACATCGGTACGAATTTCTGCAACTTCTTCAGGGCCCGGAAAGTCGACGCCCGATAAACCTTGGTGAATTCGCTTTGAACCACTTGTCAGGTTCTGTGCAGCGAAAACAGCATGATGGGTTACTCTACATCAGTTGTGGGCGAGCAGAATGTATGAAGTCACCTATACAAGTGCAACAGGCATCGGACTGGCGAGCATGCGCGAATTGTTATACACTTTATTGTTCACCTACTTGTCGGGCACTAGATCGACGGGCCACTCACGATCATCCGACCGTTTGCTCCTTCGCTCGAGCAAAGAGAGTCTGTAACCGAGTTCTGCGAAATCTGGCTCCGGGACAAATTACCGGACTGACAGCACTAGCGAAAACCGGAATGGCCAGGCTGGGTCGTGGTGGTATACTACTACCGTTTGCTTTGATTCGTCATGCCGAACTATTTTTGAAACGAGCTCAGTCACATTCCTGGAATACAACAGGTGAGGCAAGTGATACGAGTCTGGAAAAAGCGACTGCTTGTTGGGAAAAGGATCGGCAACCTAGTCCCGGTGGATTGATTGCTCCACCGTTGTATTTGACGTTACAAGAGTTACAAGAACTAGACTCTACGGTAGCCAACCCTTGTAGGACGTACGCACCATCCACTAGTATGGTATTGATCATTGTGGTATGTGCTTATGAACTAATTGCCCGAACAGATGGGAGACCGGTGCATTTGTTTAAACAGAGCTTAGTATTACCGTTCCCGGCACATAGTTTATCAAATGGTAAACGACAATCGATCAGTGAAAGAACAATTCCAGTTGCACCAGCCTTACCCGAAAAACCAACACTGCCCCAAACAAATGGTCTTCTTGGTCGACCAGATCGTCAAGCAGCTGCATCTCGTGAAGCCTATATGATTAGGCTACAGAGAATGTTACGAGAGCGGGGAGTTAGCCTACGACATCATCATCCAGAAATCTACACACAGGTGGCCAATTTTGTGGAAACCGGAGTACCCTTTTCGCCTATTCGAATCAGTTTCCACGATTTTATTCTACGCGAGGAGGTTCTCTGTGTCATCCGACCCATGCATGATCCGCAAATTTACCCCATTCGTCAAGTACAACAACCCCAATGCTCAGGGCGAGAAACTGATTATTACGAAGAAGTCCACAAAGAACGGCACGGCAAGGTCAACCCACCGGCAACAGGTGCAAAGAAACTAAATGCTGCAGCAGCACCAAATCCGAGTGCGAATAATCATCCCCGCTGGCAAGAAACCAATTTCTGAGCAACCAACCCTCGAGGTCACTTTTCCGAAATTTCTCTTATTTCAGGTCGCGCATTGTACAGTTAATGCAACTGACAACAGATTTCGTTCGTGTGAATCACGACAAACGAAATATAAAAATCCACACTGTATAGCTATGTATATGCTTCACAGGCAAACGCACACAAACATAATGATGTTCGTTGTTCCAAATCGATTTATGGTAGGGACTTGTTTCGTTTGATTTCGTGATTCGCTTTTGTCTACTTACTCGCCTGTAAGTAGAAGCATCTTTTCACTAAAATTGTATCTACATTGTTCGATGAATTGCTTCCGTCGATCGTCTTGTTTCTACAATCCAATAGCAGGTGGCATTTCTAATGACAACATACAGCATTCATTAAACTAATTGGAGACTGTCGCAATGAGCTAAAGCCGGGGGGGCCCTTTTGCTTTTGCCATACCACATCGATTTTTCAACAGCTTCAACTGCTCGCCAAGATTCACTGACATCGAGAGACACTCTTTCACTCACTCGCATTATAGTGAGAGCAGACCAATTGGAATGATCAATTGTTCAGTCATTTATCTGGAAATTTCATGCACTATATTTGCTTGTATTCAGGTAAACCAATTTTGATTTAATTCATCTTGTTTCCCCCTGACTGCGTTCTCCACCCATACTGATGACGACGGACGCTACCTGCATGTAAAGATTTTTTCTTTATTCCGCTTGTTACTTTGCTATAAATAGCATGTCTCGAATCTCGTTCTTCCACAAATGATTTGGTCAATTCTTCTCATTTTTTTCACCCCGGTGATCACACTCCAGAAAATTACTCCCACAGACACTGTTTTGAAAAGTAACGGCAGTCTCAATATTGCATCAGTCATTACACTGAACGAACGCACGTCCATTGCCCAGTAGTATAGATGTCAATAAATAGACTCAACCCATGTCCATGTATATTTCACCGCTTAACACAGATACTTACCCGATATTCGCTTCCACTTCATCAAACAACTAAGTTTCACCAGGACAGACACCGGATCGAAAACACCTCAGGTCTGATAAATGTGGAGTTATGTGAAAAGCTTAAGCAGGCGTATAATTCATTCGTGCCATCGGTTCATATGTTTCAGATTTCGGGTTGACGCTAATTTCGATGGAATAGATTTGTCCAGTTAGCAACAGTAAAATAATATTTGCTATATTATAATTGGAATCCCAAACGAGGATCACTGTTGTCTGTGCAAATTCGGGCAAGCAGATTCTTGAAATCGTGTTGCACCTGCGTCGGAAGTGCGTGGTCATGACAGAACAAATGATGACCTACATGAGGGCTGCTAAGAGTATCAAAGTCACAAGATAGAGTGTAAGTCCACGGTTTCATAGTAATCTCATCAGATGCGTGCATACGGTCAGATCGCCTTTGGTCGTAAACAGGGACAAGTGGGGCACTAGTGAGCATACAAAAAGATAAAGTAACACGAACATCAAAGGTCAAAAACTCGAATCAAATTGGATTTGTTGGAGGCAACAGTCATAGTCTCATTATGGCTATGCACGGTTGTTGACAAAATCAAACTATTAACAAAGAGCGTATTTTTATTCTCGAATAGTAGATGCTTCAACAAATCGGAACAAATGAGTACTCTTAAGGATAATTGTGTTCAAGTACAGTACCGCTGCCAGTCAGCGGGGCATCATTTCTAGGAGTAGCGCGTAATTTGGAAGAAAATGTAGCATAATGTTTTCTCCTTAAGGTATTTCAAAACACGATATATTTATAACATCAATCTTTGTAGATATGTTGCCGAAATAGAACGTCAGAAATACACATGCTCGGATTGACAAACAATTTTTTTCATGATAGTACGAAAAAAAAAGAAAGGTTAAATCCGAAAAGATAAATTTGGAACAAAAGCGAAATATTATTGCAGGGATACGACTAAAGAATGAAGTAATTTTAAATCAAGACATCAAGCGAAGTGAAGAAACGGTTAGTATCAAGCCTATAATCACATCTACAAACGTATTGACTGTGAACATTTCAAGACGGACCACAAAAAAACATGCTTGCGGTAACGGGTAGATCGAACTTACAAAACAGCTGTAATAGCGCAAGCATGAGCAGCTTTAGCGGAGGTGTACAAGACAAAATCCACTTGATAACTTTCAACACCACTTGGACCGTTCACCAATTAAATATTAATCAACCGAATGATAGCAGGAAAGAATGGAAAATTATAAATATAAAACTCAGAGAATGAGGTAATTGTGGTATGCGCATTTGAGTTCTCGTGTAACGGTATTTTTGAATATGCATCTTTGAGGTCCACGAGTGAAAAACAAAAACGAAGCGGTTCCACATTGGTGCGCGTCTGTCGCCTCAGTCACCGTTATTCTGCAAATACCGTAATTTCTCGAGTTCTTTAAATTAGACTTCAAATGTGCCTTAAACGGAATAGACCTTTTGAACGAATCCTTCGACACCAAAACACCGTTTGAGACCAAACTGTCTAAAGCTTCCCTCGCCGGCGAGCACAGTTCATATTACAATGTGTTCCTCATACCTCCTGGGGTTTAGGAGCTGTGAAGTACCAGGTCAGATTATGAGGGTCACCATAGATAGAAAAATACGAGTGCCTTTCATGACCTTAAAGACAAGCATTTATGGTCCTCTTTCAGTCACAAGAAACTCACAGTTGAGTATCTGTTAAGGAGACCGTTAATTTTCCCACGATTGTTAAAGACTGACCGGTAATGCCCACACACATCTGAGGTCAGGCTGTGTGCCAGACAAGTCATGATACAATAATCTTAATAAAAACTTCTATGATTTGCATGAGCGGAATACTTCCAAGTTGCCCAGGTCAAGACAGATTAATTTTCTTGGAGGATTTAGAGCCGAAGCCCTCGATTAGCCAAAGCCTGACCCGCAAGACTGCAGGGTGAAACCCGCAATCCGTTGGGGACTAGTGTCCAGTTCATCGGATCCTGCGTCCTTTGGACGGAGTCAAAAGTGCCTAATACACTTCACTGTTTAAGTTAACCGGTGACTACTGCCAGAACCAGAAAGGTGTGTATAGATTCTACGCCTCTTCTTGGTTGGTTTGGGATCAGGGTTTTTAGCCGACTCCTCTGGGTGAACTGCCAGTGGTTCAGTAGCTCAGTAATGGCCTCGGAAGCTGGCTTTCCGTTCTTTTACTTTGATGGGAAAACACCTCCACGGGAAGGCAGTAAGCAGGGCTTCCTCGACAGAGGCTATTTGAGACGCTTGGTTTTATAGGAAGGAGCATTTCGCAAGGTGCAAGGAAATAGTGACCAGTCACAACCTAAGACACTCATTCCCAACCACATCGAGGCTTTTGGAGGCGTAATACCTTCAAACAAAAATCAGTTTAATCGTCGGATATGCTTGGAGTAAGACAGGCATAGTAATGAAAAACTACACTATGGTGTCACTAGCCTAGTGATGGTTGATTTTTTTCATGTATTTGCACAAACAATTTGACTTCCTGATGATAAAGGTGTAGAAGACGAAACAGCAAGTATTGTATTTTGTATTGTCTAAGTTTGCAAAGCGAGGAAGATTTTTTGTGCATGTTATAATGTTAATAGCACAGCGATGTCGGTAGACAATTGTTTTGGTCGACGTTTCGGTTACCCTGGGTAATCTTTCTCAAGGCAGATCTTACAATGAAATGACTCTGAGTCGGCGAATACAATTCTCTACCGACATCGCTGTGTTATTAACATTATAACATTCACAATAAAACAACAGCCGATCGATGTTTCCATACACTCCTAACATAATGAGGTCCTTAGGAAGGTTATATTTCGGATAACTAGAGTAAACGCACCAACCGTCACACTCAACGCATTTTACGGAGGAAAACGGTCCACAGAAATAACCCTAGCTGATTGGTAAGAGTGAAAATGTCTGAGCTTTTGAAACTGAAATGATAACCGCCGCAAATTACCGACGGAATTTTGGATGTGAGTAGACCAACGAAGATTGTTATCTACGGGGAAGACAAGATATGTGACATGGGCTACTTTTTCTGGCGGTGGTCAAGTGGTTATCCTCATCAAATTAGTAACCTGGAGGTCCCGAGTACAAATCCTGCCACCGCCGTATATATTTCCATTCTTTCTGTATGTTCCCAGGCAACCTTTGGATGACGGCGACCCTCTTTCTGAAAGTTGACTTTACTTGTGCATATTCAATAAGCGAAAAAGGAAATGTTATTTTGGGCTTCATAGTGCGTAGGCGAGGATGGATGTGAAAAATTGTATAAATATACAGTACATCTGCAAGGATTTAAGCTCAGTTCTGACCGGGAGGAGAAATGCTGAATTAGCAAAAGATTATCAATGAAAGAACTTAAGTCAAAGGAACAAGAAATGAGCTGACACAACACATCACGATCAATATGTTTGTATGTATGTATGCATGTATGTTTTTAAACACATTCAGGAGAAGTACGGGGAATTTCAAACTTATATGAATAATATGTATGGGGGTAACACAACTCCTTGAAGCGGTCCTGAGTTTTTGGCTAAGGATTTAGATGAAGCCTTTCCAAGTCTCTCCGATTAGATAATATCATTAAAATGATTGAACAAACAAGTGAACAATATCTTGGCTCATTCAAACGTTTCCAACTTTGATAAGAGTACTGACCGACGAATGCAGTCGAAGGTATCCCTCAGGAATAGGCAAATAAAACACCGAAATGATTTAACGGTCATTTCAAGACTCAGAAGTAAAACATAAAAGTCTAGATTGTGCCCAAAGTGTATCGATTAGGCTTGTAGGCAAATTATAATTTATCACTGGGCGTTTGAGGACGAATTTTTCGATAAATTTTAGGGTACCATACGTCCATATTATGGGAAGAAAACGTCCGACGAAGAATGAGGCATTGGGAGCGTCAACATTCACATCTACCTCCCGCCGTACTTTATTGCTTCCACAGAGAAGCCTGATAACTTGAAACCCGTGTTTGCGATT